GCAAAGTATGTTCTGTTTCTCGTGAAACACAACGTGCCCGAGGCGGTCATTAGAAATGCGCAGACACTGACGGAGGTAGAGGGGCCTTCAGCTCGCTGTTTTTCCTGGCGCGTCGAGAAGGATTGTTGGCGGGAGTTTTCGTGTTTTCGCGACGTGTTCGACCACTTTTTTTTACCTTACATGTCTATTGTTTTGTTGTCGTTGTTTTTTTCTAAAAAAAAAAAAAGGGCTATGGCGTGAGTGTTTAAGCGTACTCGGCTAGAAGAGCAAAGCTGGATCGAGAATACGAGTAAAACAGCACATAATGAACTTGTGCATTGAGTAGCTCGTCTGGTTAGAGTATAGATTTCCTTTTCTTTCTTTGCACTTATGTTGTGGCCGCGAAAACAAGTTTTCTTTGTTTTCCAATAACAATAGTTCAGAGATAACTTCTTAGTAGTGTTTCCCTTTTTTATAAATGAACGAAGATAACGGAAATGTGTTGGTTGAGAGCAGTTTGGTGATTCCGTGTGCCTGAAGTTAGTCTGCCTCAACGAGCGACTTATTTCTCAGCTGTAGATGAGCAATTTAGCTAGTGCAGTACAACCGCTATCCTGGGGTCTTTAACGTGCACCACGCAGTAGTGATACACGACCGCACGCCGGTACGACGCTCATCCAGATCGAAACGGGCAATGTGTGGAGATTGAACCCAGGATCCCTGGGTTCTGCAGCGCAAGCTTTCGCTCTACGTGCTCCGAGCTGATGTGGGCCTGCCCACTCGGCCACCGATTCCTTTGGAGATTCAGAAAATGTCTTCCAGTGTATAATCGTTTCTGAGCAATAAATATACGTTCAGTCCCCCTGGTATGTATCGTGCTGCACCTTGTTCTCGGAATGATATGTCTAGTTTGTTTAGAAACCACACGACACAACATCGTGGCAAACCGTGGCGTTACATTGTAAAGATCCGCACTGGTGTGCAAATAAATGTTTCTTATCCCGTACCTATCAACCTGTAATTAACGCCCCAAGTAAAGTTTTTGTTGATGTTTTTAATACAGAATAATGTCCCACGTCATTTCGTATTCGTCGAACACTTCCCCGTCACGAATAATCATTTATTTTCATTTAGAGGATACTGGGAGCCAGGCACGTAGCCAAGGGGGGGGGGGGGGGGGGGGGGGGGGGGGGGGGGGGCCTAAAGAAATCTTTAACTTTTGCCCCCCCCGCGGATCAAAATCCTGGCTACGTGCCTTCTGCGAACCACGGTATTGTGTGCAAGCAGGAGTGAGTGTAATAATTATAAAGGAAACAAAAATACCAGAGAGTATAAAGTGGAACAAAAAGAAGAGAAAAAAAAAAGAAAAGGGTCAAAAGTAAAAAGAAAAATATCTGTATATAAAGCACTCTATCAAATAAAGGTTCCAGAACATTTCTTAGCCCTCGGCAATTAAGAGGGGTTGTTTGACGACAAACCATCTCAATGAACGACTTTCGCATGAAACGACGAACGACAAGTTACTTCGCGTTCCGTCGAATCTCCCACTTCGTACTACCGCACATATCTTTCTAAAGAACGCTCGAATCGTCGAGAAAAGATCCGCTCACATTGCCCTGGATATCTTTTCATGAGGACCTCCGTATACATTTACGAACGCGTTGACACGCATACGCATATCACGGCACGTTGGTTGCAAAATTTGATTACCTTTCTCTGTTCACCACAGCAAAGATCCCTATTTTTTCTTCTTGGACACACATTCAGGGGCCGTGCATCTATCACCCGCTTTTTCTTTCTTTATTTACTACCTTAATTTCGTTTTGAGGTTGAATCTTTCAGCGGGTCGGCCAGCTGTGGGCGGATAAATTACGCGCGTGGCTCTCGCTTTTTTTTTTTTTTTTTTTTTCTTTTTTCCGAACTGTTTCGACGGCTTGAAACAGTGTTCAGTTTCTTCTCGCTCCACGAAAAGACGCCCCCCCCCCCCCCCCCCCCCCCCCCCCGAAATTCGACGAAACCGTTTTTGAAAGTAAGAACGTGCCGACGCATCTATTCCTTTCTTGCCCTTCATTTTTTGTATCTTTTTTTTTTCTTTGAGTATACTCCGTTTCACCTTAGGTGGTCCGCAGCGGAAACTGCGAGCCATTCCGGCCAATCCAGCGTTGTTAGCGTATCACGTGACTATAGGCGCGCGTCACAACGCCCCTCCAGAATGTCACGTGACACTAACGTGACATTGGATTGGTTCCGAATGCTAGGAGCCCTGCGGTCCAGCGTTGAGTGAAACGAAGTATAACAGCGCGAGCCAAGGCGTTCGGCCACATTTGAAGCACACCGCGCAGGACGCGATGTCGCGCTCCTGTGTAGGAAGAACGCGATTACCGTTTAAAAAGGAGCATTCGTCCCGTTTAAAGGTGCCGCCCGTTTTCGTTTCCGTCTTCCCACTCCAGCGTGGACCGGACCACCGCAAGATCGCGCCGCATTTCTTTTACGAATTATTCGTTTACGCGCCCTTTTTTCTCCCCCTTTCCTTTCTTTTCTTTCCCTGGTTCGTTTCAGAGAATAAGCTCTCATGCTGTGATATATCCAGAGGCCGTAAAAAGAAGACGGTCTTCCTCTCTCCCCCCTTTCCCCCAAACTCTTGTCTCTCTGCTGATCCCGGCGTAGTGGAGCGGCGTCCAACGCGAGTGGCGCCCGCACGGCACGTATTACGGGCCCGTGTAAATCATGCGGAACTTTCGGGGTTGCCAGAAATTATTGCTGAGCGCCTCGCGGTTCCTTTTCCTGCCGCTTTGATGTGGCCGGCGGCGGTTTTGGCGGCGGAGAGGCGCGACGCCGCGTGCTTGCCTGCCGATTCTATGGAACACTCTAGCGATTTTGGCGGGCATTCATTTTTTTGCTTTTCTCGTCAAAACAACTCGTCTCTTTCTGCACTCCCGAGCTTTTAACGCGTTATTGCGTCGGGATGTATAAGAACTTGTAAGTGGATATATATCGTGCTCCTTGACGAACGAGGTTCCGTTCGTGTTCTACGCCATGTCCGTCTGTCGTGACGTCCGAGTTTATATCATCTTACAGGGATCGTCGGTAGACTTCTGGCAAGAGCGGTGAATAAAATGTTTTTTTTTTTTTTCTCTCTCTATCTTACTGCACGCGCCGCCGGTTGTGCGGGAGTCGCGATTCTGTTGCACTCCGCCTCCTCGGCGTTCGTTGCGATACACTTAGTGCACACAACTCGATCGTGATTGCAATCATGCCCTAATGTATAGCGCCTTATAGCTGCACGACGAACCCTCTATATTCGTTTCACAAACAACCGGGTGTTTATGAAATACGTCATTTCCGTCCCCCAAAAATGACGTGCGCGCGAGAAAGGAAACAACAACAAAAATAAAAAAAGACCGACGTCGAGTGTTTCTGAGAACAAGCCTCGAAATAAAACCCCAGTCGCACTGCCCGTACGCCATACAAAAATCACAGTGTTTGGTGCAGACAGAATGATGTAAGGTGCACTGTGCACACGTCAAGGAATGCATACCTCCTCCCCCCCCCCCCCTTTCCTTTCTTTTTACGCGCACGCGTGTTCTCGTAAATGCGTGTCTATGTGATCCACATAGACTTTGTAGACATTCACAGTGTGCTAACACTCCCCTGTAGAAGACCCAAAGTAATGGGGAACCATCTTCGCCTTGTAATTTGTGTGACTCATACGATGAACCAAAAATAGGCGTGCAGGCACGGACGTCTAACCAGTTCTCGTCCGACCTGGTGATTAGTGGAACTCATTGTCGCAGCGAATTCCCACGTGCATTTCTGTAACAGGCGTGGTTGCGCTCAGGCCTCCACGGAGTGCGTGCCATTTGGGGAATGTTCATAACGACCCAGAACCAAGTTCAATATCGAGAAGAAAAAGAGGTTGCCTTTGACTATACAGTAGTCGTCGGACGCGCCATACCCTTCTGCACTCCCCTCTCTTTAGGGCTACAACTGTAAGGCTATAGTAAGCGTGTGTTAAATATTCTCATGCATTTAACTTTGGGAATGAATGACTCACATTAATCGCTACTTAGAGATGCATCGCGCAGCAATCGGATCACTGTTTCTCCGTCATATGCAAACGAAATGAATTTAGGAGTTGTTCCTTTAAAATATTCACGTAAGCATGCCGATGTTAGAGGAACGTCTCCGAAATTAATTTTCACTCGAACCACCTTTTTCTGCGTTTTCTCGACGTTATATCTATAATTTGGAATAAAAGAGAGCACAAGCTGCTCGAGTTTATTCATTACGCAAACGGTTTTAAGCCACACGTTAAATATACAGGCAAGCACTCTGAAACAGAAGTAGACTTCATTGGTGTCTGACTGATGATTGTGGAAAATAATTTAAAAACGACATTATATATGCAGAATAGAGATAGACGTCAATTCCTACATTATAAAAGTTGCCATCCTATAAAGAATATGAAAGATATATCTCACAGTCAAACGCTAAGGTTAGGACGTCTGTGTTCAGACAAATACAACTTCGGCGTAATAGCTATAACATTAAAGGAGATTTTTTTATTATTCGGTCATATCCGATGCAGTTAGTAAATAACGCAATACTCAAAAACCGGTTGATAACACCAAAGGGATATAGTTATAAATTATGGCTCACTTTTTACCCCGTCAGTCACAACACCCAAACGATATAATAGCCTTAGACGCCATATGAATATCCTACACATGGACACAACAAAAAACTAATAATACAAAACAGCCATATATCGCCTTTAGGAGGTCACATCATTTTAGGGATATGTTTGGGCAGTGTAGAAGAAGAAAAAAAATATATATCAAGGCACAAAATGAGTAGCATATGCAAGTCCATCCGTGTGGAATCACCGCAGAATGAACCCTCGATATATTCCCTGTTACTTCTGCCTTTGTTGGTTTGATTCGCAGGCCACGTGTATATTTATGAGACATGAAGGATGCGTTAAGAACGGCTCAAGTCAAGTCTTGTGTCATTCGTTTCAGGTGTCCACATCGCGGCATTTGGGAGCCCTGGAAGCATGTCTCCCGGATGCCTGCCCTGGCTGATGGGGTGATAGTAGCAAGCGCCCACAAGACAAGCTGCATCTGCATCTACAAGTTCTTCACGAGGCCTCTAAGCTGGTAGCGAGTGTGCGGGGGAGTGCTCCCATCTGGTGATTTCCATGAGACTCACATCACCTGGCCGCACCTCTTTTCGACCAGATCGAACGTGGACAGCTGTTCTATGTGGACACATTATTCACGGTCGACAAAGAGTTTGTTCAGTTGTGTGCCGAAATGTTCATCGGTGATTTTTGATGTCACAAGTAGTCCTTGTCAGCGTAACCTTTTCTTCTTTAGTTTGCACGGCTGGCTGTCCATCCTCGCGGAGGGAGGCCAGTCACTCGCAGAAATGTGTGTTTTAACGTGCGACAACTTAAAACGATGTACAGTGATCGGGAGCATATGGGCACCGGAACGTGCATGCCCATGAACGTGGTTTAGAACGGTGGTTTATAGACACGCCCGAAACTAAGCAAGGATATGTAGAGTTTTCGCGTGTATACGAATAGAGTTGAACGAGTTTTGATACGACAACAGGTAGTCGAAAAAAAGTCGGAAGTCCTAGCGCAACCTTTATAAATGCAGAAGAGCTTGCTCAAGACTTAGTGGTAAAAAAAAAAAATCGGTATTAGGGAGTTTTAGCTTGGCGTTATTGCAGTGCCGTTACCGGCCCGCCGAAACCGGTCCAGAAACATACCGCGAAAAAAATGTTTCAGCGAACCGTCAAAAAATACCGCAACCTTTTTTTCTTTTGGCAGTGCGGTATAAACGGTTGGATTGAACGTTTACTTCGCTGTACATTTTCGTCCCATTTTTGACCGATGGTAACGGTATTGCGATGACGCTACGCTAATATTTCGTTTTACCTGACGGGCAGACTGGCACTTTAGCTCGTGCCGTGTTGGTTGCAAGATAACTAGTTTTGTATTGTCGCGCTCAACAATTAACCAAAAAAAGAATGTTATAAAAGAGATGCTGGAACGGCGCAAGCAGGAGATGCGCCCTTATGTTGGCGCTAGCTGCGCGCAATGCGTGGAAGCAAAATATCTGCCGGAAGTGTGCTTGCTAAAGACTGCCTTATCGATTGCATAAAGGACGTACCGTAAAATACCGCGGAAACGTCCGCTTCGTTCAAGGGCCCGCTATTACCATTTCCCAATCTTGGGAATTCTGCAAATTATACAATAAATTCCCGATATGACCGGACAATCGCCCATGTCTCAAACCATTTTTTTTTTTTTTTATGTGAAAGTGAGACGGGCTTTTTCCCAGTATTTTACGGGAGATCATCCTTGCAGGGTCCGTACATTCTCTACGCCGAAGTATCGTTGACGTGTTGGACACAGGGGCTAAAACACCGCACGAGATGAGATCAGCCTGAAGGCTCACTCACACACTAGCGTTTGACTATAAGGGGGGGGGGGGTATTCACTGGACGCCATATTTGAGTGCACTGCTCACCGGGCATGCTCAGAACGAGCTCACACTTATAGGTTCCAAAGACAGGCAATCTCGCTGATGTCGAATGCACGTTGCAAAAGCGCACTGTATTGAAGCTCGCCTTCAGCACGCTCGGAGGAGCTACGCACCCAGCTATTCGCGACTCCAGCGAACTATAGGGGGCGCGCTGTTCAGGCAAAGTGGCGGACGAAAGGAGGTCGTTTTCATCGTTGAGCACGCTGACCTCCATAAATTTCTTGCACTGCAGCGTAAAATTGGTGTTACAAGTGACAGCAAAGCGATTTTTCGGCGGTAGAAACCTTCTAGTCAGTGCGTAGGAATCACATGGCGGAAGCATAAAAATAATTACTGGAAACGATGCTCGTTTCTACGCTGCCTACGAGAACAAGGCAGCGACAAGAGACGGCAGGGTCCAAACGACCTCCCCTCTCGAGGTTCTCGGCGCTGCCGCTACGCGGCGTCGATTTCGCTTGAAGTCGCCAATATGGCCGCCAGTGAATACCCCCTATTCTCCGTTTCGCCGTAAATTCGATCGCAGCCGACAGTATACGATCCAGTGTAGCCATTCAATCGGCACCAAAAGTGCATCGTCACGGCGCTCACCTTCTTTTTGCCTTTGCAATCACCCACCAAACCAATCAGGCACAGCGAATGCAATACGATCCGGCGCTTTATTTTTTTTTTTTTCTTTCTGTGCGTGATTCGTTTAACCGGTGACTAGTAAACGCAAAAGTAACAGCACCGTGGTGATGCACTTTTGGTGCTTCTTGACTGTAGTGTCGACCGCGGTTGACTTGGGGTGAAGCGGAGCAGGTAGTGACTGGCAGTTTAAGAAAAACATGGCGCGGCGAATCCTAAGCATGTTGTTACAGCTCCGTGGCCAGTGACATAGGCCGACGAGAATGCCCGAGAACGAGTAACCAAACAAGAATCTTCAACAGTCCCGCCCTGCGTTTCTTAAGCCGTTATCGACTATGCGGGGAGCAAGTCGTCTTCTTCTTGCGCAGGAGTTTCTGTGTCGTCAAAAAAACGCCGAGTTCTGATTGGCTGATTGAAAAAAAAAGAGAAATTGTGGGTATATCTTTGTGCTAGATACTTTAAGGTCTACCCTCTATTCTTTTTCAATCAGCCAATAAGAGCTCGGCGTCGTTCTGACGTCACCGCAACTCCTGCGCAAGAAGCAGCCGACTTGCTCTCCGCATAGGCTTCAAAACGTCACGGTACTTCGAGATGCTTCTTCGAGTTACTATAGCAGCCAAGCGTTGTGTCGCTTGCTCCGCGATAATTCGCAGTCATATATATCTCGACTGAAGCAGCCCGAAACATAGTCAAACGTTACTGCTTTAATGAGCCTTTACTTTAACTCCGTCTCTGAAGACTGTCACAAAGTGAAGCGACACGGGCACGGTATCGGACACATAAAATAACCGTAACCTCCCCCCCCCCCCGCCCCCGCCCCCGCCCCTTCCCCCTTTCGGCTTCAGTGCTTAAAAGCGAGGTATACAGTGCAGTGCCCTCCCTGTCGGTTGCGATAACGTGCCCGCACCGCCGTGATCTCGAGCGTCTGTCCAATCGAAACAACTGTTCTGCTTCATGTCGGGTTAAAATTTCATTTCGTCGAAACGCAGCCATCGTACAACTAACTGTGCTGCATCTTATGGCGCAGTTCGATGAGGAGAAGAAACCACCAAACATTCTTGCGGACATCACAGAAACAGTTTTATTTAGTTTGGCGATAAAAACAATCTTAACATCTTTACGAACAGGTCTTCTTTCTTCTTCGTGACGTGTTAGGTTTGTATACTAAGGTGTGTCCAACATGTCAGCGAGCAATGCCTCTTCATCATTGGTCTAGTTGGACTATCCAACTAAGTGTTCGGATACACTTAGTGGGTTAGTCCGTAGCTCCGTTTCGGCTTCGGCACTTACAGATTCGACAGAAATTATTTAAATATTATTCCAAGCGCGACTAAAGTAAACGTCAATGGACACCTCGGTGCGAACGGACAGTCCTGAAGTGCGCTTTCTTCTTCGGCAAGAGATATTGTGTAGATGTAGATCCGGTGCACCACTAGTGATCTCCGGTGACCAGCAAACCGCCTTCCTAGTCACTGAAGAGAGAGTCCTTCCAAGAGGTTAAATTTTGAAAGAATCGGGCTCGCGAAGTGCTTTTGATAGAAATATATAGGTATAATAATAAAGTCCCAAGAAGAACAGTCGTCTTAACTTGAACAAGCTCCTTGAAGAAAGAGAAAACGGTCAGACAAGTAACGTTCTATCATTTCAGTGGACATATTGTAACGATGGTTCGACATAGCGTTGATGATATCGGTGATTAGGCAATTGGAGCGCAAATTTGCGCAGGTCCGTTATTTCTGAAAGTCTGCTGTTGAAGTTTGGTGGTGACGACTGAACAAAGCAATCTCTTGGAACTTGGGGGTGCGAGTTCAATGTGCTGACCAGAAGTGCAATTTTAAGCGCAATGATGGTATGTATCTGAACATGCTTGAAACCAGGCTCCTCGTGGTGGCCTCTTTTTTGCCTAGTTAGTTGTTAGCGTTATTACTGAGCTTGTTTACACTTATGTTTTTTTTTTTTTTTTTTTTTTGATAGCGTGTTAGGAGACTCCAACGGCTACAAGTAGTAAAACAAAAGTAGCCCATGGAGTTTCATTAACGCGTGAAAAGTTGGCAATCAAGATCGTAACTCTTGGGTTCTGACTCGTAAAGGTTTTCGGGTTGCCGTTAAAATCACTATATCTACTTACTGTGTATCGTATTGTTTGTGGGGATCGGGCATTTTTTATTTCGTGATGCGCAGTTCTATTTGCCTTGTTGTGTCTTCGTAGGAAGTTCCCACGCATTTTGCTTGAACATCTTGCTTCCTTGCAATCTGGTGTATTTTCTCACTTCCTACTTCCAACTTGAGTTTTGTTCACGTCGCCTTACGAAGTGCCAAAACATCCGTCTAAATACAATAGCTAACTAAATGAACTCTGCTGCTGGAACAGAAGGAGCGTTTGGAATAGGAAATCATATTTCAATAATTTTTGAGGCTCACAAAGCATTCCTAAAAGCAGCGTCTGCTGTTCAGCTGGTACCATTTTACGTGTTATGCTTACGTATAATCTTGCTAATCACGCTGCCCCGAACTAGTTTGCCGTATATGATTTGACAGAATACAGTTTAGTGCAAGGGTTGAGCAGAAAACCTTTGGTCGCTACATTCCGTGCCATTTAAATAAACCACAATTCTTGAGCAACTGATTAGTTAAGAAGAACTCGAGTGTAAATCTTTTTTTCTTTCGGTTTTCATGACAGAAAACGTTGTGCACGTTCTGCTGTACTGTCTAACCGCAGATGACTTTCGTTGGTGCTAACTCCTTACTAATCAGAAAGAGAAAGATCGAATGCGCGTATTGTGCAAGTCATTACTAAACCAAATATTGGAGCTTGCATCGCGAGGGATGCTTTGTGAGCCTAAGGGATCAAAGTCTAGAAAAAAACAGTATGAAAGGCGTGTGCTGACGAAGTGTGTGAGCGTGAGTGCGTTCGGCCGCACACTGGTGCGAGCCTCTGAGCTGTGATAAACGCGTAGGAAAACAAAATGAGGCAAACCGAGACCACCCACCAGCACGGGGTTCTGTTCCCCGTCAAGAGCTGGAGAGCAAAGAAATCGTGAGGAGCGAAGTAAAGAGGAGTGCGTTCAACAAAGTCTTCGCTTTAACGCCTATGCAGACGGTGAGGGGAGATGTTCGGTGCAGCGGTGTAACTGTGATAGGAGAGTCTATACAGAGTCATATTATAGCGTTTGGAAGAAAGCTTTACAGGTCGGAGCTATGCACTTCTCTCGTCGACGAGTGTTGATCAGCGTGTGATGTTGTATCGTTTTGTAGGAGTGTTCCAAGTTCTGCGTATGGCGTTCGGAACCTCGGCTCCGATCCTGTGCTCGAACTCGCGATAGCCGATTGCCTATGCCTGTGCAGCAAGCACGGAAATATATGGTGTCTACATTCGTAAACAAACGGCGGCTGACGAAAAGAAACCCAGACGGCCACTTCCTTCATGGAGTGGTGTAGCAATTCCCTATCAGTAGGGAATGTCGCAGTAGTGTTAATTTGATTCTAAAGAAAGTACCCCGCTCGGGCCCCTTCTTGTAGACAGCCCCTCATCGTACAGATGACGCAGACTTCGTGCCGCATGCGTTGGTGTCCGAAGCATCGATGTTAGCTTAGCGCATGAATGGTTGATTAGACCATTTTGTTCCTCACATGATCTATCGATCGGCACAATGTTCGCACAATCGACATTTTCTTCCGTACCATTATAAACGAACGCAAAAACCAAATGTGACTAACTGGATTTTGTTTTGAGATCACACTGACGATCATCCTAATCCCATCCGAGAACGAACGACGTTCACGATCACACCGTCTGGCGAGCACAGGAGCGGTCCCAGGCTCTCCAAAGTTTGTAATAAAGAAAGTAAGCCAGCCGTGGACTGTGTTGCTATGTAACCGCCGTTAAGCGCAATCAACTTTCGACATGTACTTTAATTGTAGACACTACTGTGTACTGTATATGCTGTATCTAACGCTTCGTCTGCTCTGTGTCCTGCACGGCGAGCCTGTGCGGAGGTTTCTTTCCATTCGCGAGCCGGTCAGGTTCGCTACTTTGCCTGTATACGTATATTACAGTGAGGCTGCGTGTGCAGACAAGTCATAGACCTGTGTGCTACGCCC